ATATAAAGGACAACAAAAACAAAACAAATGAAAGGAAAAGGCAAAAAGAAAACTTTCCAAAAGTATTAAGTTATCTAAGGAATTCACGTTACATAACTGATAATGGTTTGGTAAATTGTTTCAATGGCCTACTATTATTTAAACAACAACTATACTGTAGTGTGCTTAAACAATTGACCCCATTTCAATGCCGCAAAGAACTTGACAATTATCAAAGCAATATAATCATCTTTTCACACTATTCTGCACTAAACCCATACATCACCATTTCGAGGCTATATCAGATTGACGTTATTATTATTTTTTTTTAAAACTCAACTTTACCCTATAATTCTTATCAAATGATAATATGGTAAGGGGTAACCATCACTCACTACTAGAAATTAAGCCTATGGCAACTCTTTCAAAACCGTAGCAATAGATACTATAACCGTTCCTGTAGGGCTAATGGAACGGTTTTGGACGCGTTCTAAGATTCAGCATTACAATAGGTCAACATGAATGGTTACTTGTAACGGTTTCAAAACCGTCTCCATAAAGGGCTATTGTAACGGTTTTGAAACTGCTACCATTGATCAATCTATGGGGACGATTTTACTTCTGAAGTGACCATTTCGAGACTCTATTGGGACGGTTGAAACCGTTCCAAAATATAATCTATTGTAACAGTTCTCTAACCGTTGCAAAATAACCGTTCCAATAGAACCATTTTTTAGTAGTTACCGTGTATAAACTCACACTTAAAACAAGGGACCAAACAAAGATTTTCTAGCCTCAGCAAGCCCCAAAAAGGCTAAATAACATATTGATATCAAGTTTAGCATCCCGCACACTATGTTCTTCATATATGAAATCAAATTATTACTACAATACACAGAATCCAAACAACAATGAAAGATGAAGGAAAATAGTCATGACTTCATATTAAACCAGATCTGGAAAAATACAGAGGTAAGAGGACATACTTACTTGGACTATATATCCTGCGTGGGGGCATTATATTTTATATTTATTTTTCTGTCCTCAAACATAAAATGGCTTCTTACATTATAGTAACTTATATTTACTGTCCTTAACATAAAATGGCTTCTTACATCTGTATTTTGCACGCCTACTTCTACTTATTTGCATTTCCTAAACAAAAGCTTTGATTACTAATTCTGTTTTATTCTCACTATTATTTTCAACCTTCCCTTATTTGATGATTTAGTTCAGTTAAATGGGTTCAAAATAGTGATATTCAAACTCATATGTCGTGCTAATATAACTTAACTGTATAGGTAAGAGTTAATATTGCTGTTTTCATATTTAACTTATTTAAAGTTCAAATTTTATAAGTTACTATAATCAACTCCCTATCCCTTATTTTATATATATTTTTTGCAGAAAGGACAGAAATCTAATATGAAAAGCTGGCAATTCATGCTTTTGGTTGTTTGTACTTTGCACTTTAACATTCGTACTTCGCTCCGGCCTGTTTGCTCAAACATTATCAATTTCAACACGGGAAAACCTATTATTTTGTTTCAACTATTCCTTCCCTTTAAATTCATGATGATCAGTGTCCATTATGCGTATAAGTTATAACTAACTGTATATGAAGAATCTAATCTTCACAAGAGATAACAAAGAGGAACCAATCACTGGCAATCACAGAATAAGCTTATTCTTCCAAAGAAACAAATTCCATAAAGGATCAAAATGTTTGAGCGTTCAAGATACAGCCTATAGCATCTGAATGAAGCCTCTGAAGGCGGCCAAAAGTGTTTAACAATTTACCTGCATGTTTTCACAGACATGCAGGCGTACGAGTTACTTCACTTGTACAATTCCTTGAATCTTCTGCAAGCTTCTACGACGTTATCCCTGTGCCCAAATGCACTTACTCTGACAAAACCTTCACCACCAGGACCAAAACCACTGCCTGGTGTGGTAACGACATGAGTCTTCTCAAGTATCTCGCTGAAAACCTCCCATGAGCTTCGTCCAGGGAAGTGAACCCACACGTAGGGTGCATTTTTACCTCCATACACCTTGTAACCTAGCGACTTAAATGTCTCCATTATGATTTCTGTGTTTTCTTTATAGAAACTAACCACGTTCTTCATGGCCTGTGATGCAAAGTCAACATGTTCAAGCAGAGAACTTGGGCCTATTAAATGATGTTATTTTTTATTAAGTGAACAGGGAAACGACAAGCAAATGTTGAAACTGACCTTGAAACCATCAGGTGAAAGGCAAGCCAGACCGCCAGCTTGAGCGATATTGGATGCACCATTGAAGCTTGTACAAACAATGCGATTGAAGTCTTTTGCTACAGGAAATCCATCAGAATATAGGAGTGCTTTGGGAATTGCAGTCCACCCTAAACGAACTCCAGTGAACCCAGCATACTTCGAAAACGATGAAACCTCAATGGCAACCTGCAAGTCCAGTACAATATGCTTACTGAGAAACAAATCCACTTATTAATGTAGAGAATCATGCAATAAACTCTGTAGACCACAGAGGTAAGGAGAAAAAGCAGCACAAAAAAGTCTAACTGAAATATGACGACTCTCTAAGAAGCTCTGTAACTGAAAAAGACATGCAAGGGAGCAAGAAGGATCAGAAGAAAGTCCCTGCAATTAACCAGGGGATAAAAGCACTTGGATAATAGACTTGAGATAACCTTACTACAGAGTGCCATTGAAGAACATGGAAAGAAGATGACTTGGAAGACCACTTACAAACTAGTTTGATGAGCTTCAACTATGGCAAAAGACAATGAAGGAGCAGGACAAGAAGATGAATTAGAAGGAAAGGTCCCAACTAATTGCATGAATGATAATAAACGAGCTAAAAATCTTCAATTGAACAGACTGCTCATGTTATTTTTCCACAGTAAAGATTAGAAAGAGACTGTAGGAGAAGAAAGGAATCCATATAAAAATATAAAAAAGTCATAAAGGATATATGTGAAAGAGCCGCACAAGCGTGAGAATAGTGGTAGGAGATACAAAAGAGTTTTCCATAACCATGAAGATCTGCATTGAGCCTATACTTGTTGATCCTCATTATGGATGAGCTAACCGATAGCATACAGGATGAGGTCTTCGCTATTTGCAATGGCATTCTACTTTCTCACTATCTTTTCTATCCTTTCTGAAGCAAGCCAAGATGGAAACTTTTCAAGTTGTGGTCCGTTTTTAGACAGTTCACTGAAGAGGAAAATAGACATGTAAGGACTAGAGCGTATAGCCCTAACACTACATTTTGGATCCCCTAGTATGTTAATTGCAAATGATATTGAGGTAACTGACAAAACTAGTGAGGGTGTTGTTAACCGAAAGTCTGAACTATGGAGAGCACTAGAGAATAACAATTTTAGAATAAGAGTATATTGCAAGTTTAGCCACCATATGCAAACGATTCATGCAACTAATCAATAGGAAATTAATGAATACCAGAATGAAACAGGTCCAGATAGAGCAAAATCAATAGTGAGACCGCATATGCCGACCCTAACTAGCTGAGGATTGATGTATGGTTGTCATTGGATTAAAAAGAGCAACCAAACAAAGTGATATGCGGGCATCATGAGCTTTAGTCATCTAAAAACAGGGTCTGAACAAATGATAGCAGAAGCTTTCACTAGAAAAGAATGTAAAGCTTAATGTTGACCAAATAAAATGATCCAGACTTACCTCTTTGGCTCCAGGAATCTCAAAGATGGACTTTGGACTGTCATCACATATATACATTGCATATGCAGAATCATAAACAAGGATTGAGCCATTGTTTTTAGCAAAATGCACCAATTTAGTCAGCTGCTCCCTTGATGCCGCAGCACCAGTTGGATTATTAGGCGAACAGAAAAATATAATATCTGTCCGAGGAACACTGGATAAATCAGGAAAGAACCCGTTTTCTGGAGTACATCTCATGTATGCAATACTCCCATACTTCTCCACATCCTTCTGAAACTGACCAGTTTGGCCCATAATAACACTTGAATCCACATAAGCCTACAGTAGAAACAACAATCAAGGCTTACATCAGAATCTTACACACATCATCAGATATGAGAGCCTTTCTCCAAAGAGAGGTAAAGAAAGCAAGAATACTCCAACAGACTATAAAGAGCCTAACAAATAACAGGAGTATAAAAGATGTATCAATAGCCTATACAAGAGTATAAAAGTTCGTGCTAAGTTATAAACAAGTACCACTTCACTTAAATCTCACAATGATATGAAAAATCATTTAACAAAATAGACATAGCAAATCAACAATATGCAGGAATCCTGGATGGGCATTTTTCATTTTTTGTCAAACATGGAAGAATATAGGTAAAAGCCTGAAGATTTTACCGGATACGATGGGTCTTGCACAGCCATAGTGACATTAGACCCAAAAAGAACCTAAGATACAGTCAAGAAATACAAAAAACTGTTAGTGAAAGACTCAAAGACGTCAGTTATAATTTGAAAAGACCACTTGATAAAGAGAAAACCAAACCTGAAGCCGAGATATATCACTTTTGGCACCATCAGAGACGAAGATCTCATCTTCCTCTATTCCAACATTTGCATAAAAGGTAGAAGCAATGGAGGCTCTAAGTTGCTGCTCATGCGGAAAAAAATCAACGCCATTCTTACTTTACACTTAAATCACCGATGAAATGCCACGAACAAAACATACGGTAACCATAGAGTAATTTTCTCTTATGTCTGTCTTAAAGTAGCATGTTTGGCCAAGCTACTTTCAAGGTAAAAGCGCTTTTTTTTTGTCAAAAGTGGTTTTTTTCTAAAATTAAAGTGTTTGGCCAAGCTTTTGAAAGGGAAAAGAGTACTTTTGAGGAGAAGCAGAAAAAAAAGTAGCTTCTCTCCAAAAGCACTTTTTTTAAAAGAACTTTTGAGAAAAATACACTTAGAAGCAATTTTTTAAAGCTTGGCCAAACACTAATTGCTGCTCAGAAGTGTTTTTCAAATTAATTAGCCAAACACAAACGGCTTCTCACCAAAAGTACTTTTGAGAAAAGCACTTTTGAGAAAAAGTACTTCTCAAAATAAATTGATATTTGCAGTTTGGCCAAACGGGCTATAAGTCTCCAGAATAACCACTTGAAAATAGCCAAACATGAAACATGTCATTGCACATTCGCTTTTTTTTTTTCTAACACCTTGGTAGGCAAACTAAGTGTTGAATAAATGCTAATTACAAAGCAGTAATAGATTATTGTTGATATAATATATGGAAATGATTTTAAATGCTTCGGAAATTCCAGCTGTGCATGCCTTTTAGACATCAGTATATCATCATCATACTATATTATAAATGGGAAGCTCTAAAGTAGAAATTGATTTACCAAAATATCCTTCAAAAGTTGAATTATCTTTCTACCCCTTCACTTAAACTATACTCCAATAATATTTTTGTACAAAAATGTAAATGTGTATTCTAATAAATAATTAGACATAAATAGTGTAATACAAGTCTAATCCAATCGTTTGGAATTCTCAATCTTAAAGTTTTTAATGTACTTTTGATTATGCAATAAAGATGGATTAAAGAAAGGCATCTGAATGAGATATCTTTTTGTATTCTCTCAAGTTTATTCAGTTTGCCTCTTCCCACTACTCATTTGAATATACATATTTTGTATAATGTACAACATCTTTTATATCCTCTGAAATTGGTTGGTGATATCTTTTTGTATTTCCAACCAGATTTGTGGAAGTTGATCTGGTTAGGATGATTGTTCATAAAGTTTTCATTTCCTGGCTTGAAGAACAAGCAGATGAAGTGCTTCTTGATCAAGCTTCTATCTTTCCCAATTTTCATCCTAGAAAGTAATCAATGATTATGCTTGCATCTGTGCTATTCTGGTTGCAGATGTCTTTACTCGTGAGTAAGTTCTCATTTTCTTTTCAACAATTTAACTAGGACAAGGTTTCTTTGTTCTAAATTTTTTTTATTTGTGATACATGTATGGTCCTGGAGTTTGAAGCCACAAAGCAAGTTTTTTCTGATGAAACTTTCAATAGCACCTCTCTTATAAAACTGATCTCTTTCATACCATTTGTATCCTTGCTCTTTTGTCCGTTCGATTAATAATGGTTTCAGTTGTCTGTGGCCACAAGGGCTCCTCCCTTGGTACTTAATTTTTTCTCTCCATGTTTTATTATTGTTTTCTACTCCCGTTGCCTCTTCACTAAATAGCCTCTATTGACCATGCTAAAGTTATTTTTCTGTTTTCTTTTTCCTTTTACTTATTGGTTATTGTCAAATGTAATCTTAGTTGATTAATCTTGCTATTCTTTTACCTTTTAACTACCCTTTCAACTATTACCTTAAGCAATATTCTCTAGACCAAATTCATCTACTAAATAATAAATCGCATTAATTAAATAATTAAATACAAGATCTGATTCATCTACCAAAATCAAGTACTAACATATATATGGGGAACGAAGAGGAGGAGGTTATGAAAGAATGAAAAATAAATAGTCATGGATTGTATGGATCACATGTTGGATTAGTGGGCGGATGTTGGATGACACAATTTTGATCTCATGATTTTTTTTTTTGTTGGAGACTGATACTCTATTATTTTGTTTAAGCTCTCTCACTCTCTCTCTCCTTTAAAGGATTCATTTCAACTGGGAACATTTCTTAATTATCTTTTGGCTTCTTTTATTATTGTTAAAGTTTGATTAATTAACTTTTATCTAACCATGATTAATATCACATATTGATCTTTTAAGTTTCAGGTAATTATATTTGCTTTAAAATTGTAATGAACACTTCTTATACGAGCATTAGTCATTCAGTTTCGTTAAGATAAATTTTGCTTGTGTTGGTGTGACTTTATTTTTGACAACTTACTTTTTATGCTTTTAAAATTTATTACTGGGAGAGATATCAATATCAACAATATCATAAAACATATTATCAAGTTCTTTTGATAAGATGTATGGGTTTCAACAATATTACTTCAACAATATTAACTGGATGGTTACCCCTTACCATATTATCATTTGATAAGAATTGTAGGGTAAAGTTGAGTTTTTTTTTTAAAAAAATAATAACGTCAAAATCTGATATAGCCTCGAAATGGTGATGTATGGGTTTAGTGCAGAATTGTGTGAAAAGATGATTATATTGCTTTGATAATTGTCAAGTTCTTTGCGGCATTGAAATGGGGAAGACCTTACCCCTACCCCGAAGGGGTAGAGAGGCTGTTTCCAAAAGACTAGCGGTCAATAATTAAGTCATTCAAATATGCAGATTGCACAACAATTTGAGCTTGTAATTTTTTCCTTTAAATTTTATGGTACTCATTATACATATGTTTTAATATTATATAATATTTCAAAAAGTCTGCACTAATTGACATGGAATACTCGTGTAGAGAAACTAGTTATGCCAAAAGAGGAAGTTTTCACTCTACCGCGTGGACCACCGGACAAAGAAGATAGTAATGCATTTGAGGAAAGAAGATACAAAATGAACCGGATAAATAGAGGAAAGACAAACTATCAGCGCACATGCAAAATACCATTTATTCTTGTAGCAAAAAATGGAAGAGAATTAAGAAATGAACGATAAACAATAGACCTAATATCATATTACAAAAATAGGGGGGTATTGGGGGGATGAAATCCGCTACTTACTTTTTCTCCTTGCTCAGCACCATAACCACTGTAACCCTTTAATGTTGACAGGTCATGTGCTCTCTGCCAATGAGTAGAGTAAAAGAAAACAAAATCAAGAACAGGAAGTTGGTTATGACTTAGAGTTCAATAAGCAGAATAGATTAAAAATACAAACTAATTGTCAAGTTAAATGGCAGTCCATGTAGGCGTGCTGAATTCTATCAACACAAATATCCAGAAACATGTTCATTATAGAACCAAACGTTACCAGATACATGACTTTTTCGAGTAGTCCTATCATCGGTCAACAGAACAAGATACGACATACAGCAAAAAACGAAGTTTGACTAATAACAAAACACTACAGCGTGATAGAGATGTCAAATGACCCCTGAACATCAGAAATTGTATCCTATCTTTACAAAATTCACAAACAAGGCTATCAGCATTACCTGTGCCATGGCAGAACTTATGAATTCAGGAATGGGCTCAGTAGTGTCACCAATTCCAAGGCTTATAATTTGAGCATCAGGGTGTTTCAACATGTGTGCAGATCTCCTTCTTGCGATCTAACTTCACCAAAGAGAGATTGTTTATAACTTAACTCCTATTAAGTAGGAGAGAATGTCTACAAATTAAATTTTAGTGTATTACTATAAAGTGTCTTCTTTCCCCTATTTCAAGATGGAAGCGTAGAGGGGTAATGGCGGTATAAAATCAAAAAACCAACATCCAGCTTAAAAAGCAAATAATTTTGCTTAAGGGAACTAAATCTGCTCTTTGTCTCATCGTAATTCCACATTACTGCTATATCATCTAAATTAATCTTTTATTTGCATGGGCACAAAAGAAATGCCTCCAATTTATTCCAAGCAATGTGTCTAACGTCTTCTCTAATCCCCTACTGCTAATTCAATATAAAAAGCATCTTTAATTGCAAAGTAGCTTAAATAAACAAAATAACAACAATCAACTCAATAAAAAAGTACCATCTAAAATACAGACCTCAGGAAAAAGGTAACCAGCTTGAAGTTTAGCCAAGTTCTCATTGCGAGAGACCTTTGTTTTGGAAGCTTCAAGCAACACAGGAATTTTGTTAGCGCAGTCAAATCTCAAGAAATTGCATATGTATTTGAATGGACAAATACAGGTGAGACTAAGATGGACAATTGTTTACTTTTTATCATTTTCAACAGACAATTTTTGGACAATTATTTTAAAAACGTCACGTAGCAATTGTTTTGACTCTTCACTTTGCTTCTCATCGAGTTAAAAGCAATACATATGCAATTACAAACATTGATTAGTTTAAAGTTCTCAAATACCAATTTTCAAAATCTCTAATTGATCCATATTGCACTGGCTCACAGTCTACTATTTGCATTAATATAATTTGGCAATTCACTAGAAGAACACCTTTGACTCTTCACTTTGCTTCTCATCGAGTTGTTAAAAGCAATACATATGCAATCACAAACATTGATTAGTTTAAAGTTCTCAAATACCAATTTTCAAAATCTCTAATTGATCCATATTGCACTGGCTCACAGTCTACTATTTGCATTAATA